CCCCCCTTCCCACCCACCCCGGCAGCAGCTTTCCACCCTAGGCTCTCCTGGGCACCCGGCCCCAACCTGTAGAAGCTCCTCCACTGGCCAGGGCTGTGCATCTCCTTGGAGGTCTTGAGCTCCACATAGCAGGCGGGGGGCTGTGTGGACGAGGCCTGGGGGTCTGTGCAGTCCACCTCCCCGGAGAAGAGCAGAGGGTGGTTTCCCAGGCGGCTGCGTAGCACAGAGCAGAAGGCCACATTGGTGTTAACCTCCCCGGAGGGGTCCGGGGAGCCTCCGGGCTTGTCTGTACAGGAGAGAAGAGCAGGGAAGGGCTCTCGCCTCGGAGGAAGGGGACGGGGGCCACACCGCGGGGACAGCCCTCACCTGCACACATGTACTGCTCAAATTTGTAGCCCATGTACATGAGCTCCCGGAGGAGGGCTGGCCTAGCAAGCCTCTGAGCCCGAGCGGCCGGGGTCTCCACCTCACTCAGGTACAGGGTCCCTTGGAACCGAGAGGCTGCCAGCTGCCAGCCCTCCTGCCGCTCATATGGTGTGGTCAGCAATTTTGTCAGGTGTCCTCGCCATGTCACCGTGGCCCCTGCCAGCCAGCCTGGATCCCTGAGGGGAGAGAGTTTGGGGCTAATGGTCTGACCCAAGCCTTGGTTCAGCCGAGCCAAAGTCCCCCTAAAGGCCATCTGGCTCTCCTGACTTCAGGAGATAAAAAAATGGGTCTCCAGGTCAGCTCGTGTGCTGGGCCTCGCTCACCCCAGCTGGTGTCGGTGTTCCAGAATCCAGCGTAGCAAATGGTCCAGCCTCTCTTGGACTTCCTCATCCCGGGGCCGGTATCTGTCAGGGTAGCCATCTCGGAGATCAAAGTCCGGGCCTGGACCGTTGATGGGGGGTGGGCTGTAGTAGCGGAGGGCTCGGGCATCTCCATGGTACTGGCGTTGTGCGTCCAGGGAGAAGCAGCCCAATTCGGAAGGGCGCCGGTAGAAGGGGAAGGGCCCCGAGTACAGGGAAGGCTCTGTGCGCAGTGAGGACACCGAATGCGGGAGTTTGTTCGGAGGCTCTGCCGCCTCCGGCGTCTCAGCTTTTCTCTTGGTCTCTCTGGGCTCCATGAGGGTCCTGAGATGAGAAGTGTTTGCGTTTTAGAGTGGACGAGGACACGGGGAGCCCAGCGCCGTGCAGCAACGCCCCCTCCTCATTGGAGAGCTGAGCGCCTCTTACCATCCACGGCCGCCCAAACGCGGCGAGGCTAAGTGCGGGCTTAGCCGGGCGGAGGTGACGCACACCTTTAATCCCAGCCCTCGGGAGGCAGAGGCAGGGGGATCTGAGTTCGCGGCCAGCCTGGGCTACAGAGCGAGATCCAGGACAGCCAGGGCACAGAAACCCTGTCTCAAAAAACAACAACAAAAAGCTTGCGCTCAGAGCAAAGCTCTGGTTACCTCAAAGCTCCCAACCCTGACTTCCAGCTCCTCAAAGCTACGGCGTCAAAGCCAGAGCGGGATGCAGAGGTGCAGGCGCCGCTCCTGACGACGCCACACCGGCGGGAGGGCGGGAGGGGCGGCGGCGAGGCGGGTCTGCACCTGAGTCGGGTCCCAGGCGGACACCGCGCGCCGGAGCGAGCGCCCCGGGCGGGAGCCAATCGGCAGCGGCGCGGGCGACGGAAGCGGGGCTGGCTCCGCCCCTCGCGGGTGCGCCTTGCGTTGTCAAACTCGGGCGACCCGCCAGAGGCGCCGTCGTCATCAGTCGTCATTATTCCGCGCCGGAAGACCCTGTCATCGGGATCCCTTTTTTCCCCGGAACCGTGGAATCCCGGGCTATGAATCGCAAGCGACAACTCCTAGCGTCGGAGGCCTTCGGAGTGAAGCGGCGGCGGGCGCCGGGGCCCGTGAAAGCGGATCCTCTGAGGGCGGGCGCAGGTAACCATGGCAACCCGGGCGCGGCGGGCCCGAGGGGACCGACCCTTGGAGGAGGACCCAGGGTAGGTAACCATGGCGACCCGGTTGCGGGGCAGCGGGCTGGCCGAGGGCGGGGGCGTCCGATCCCGCCCGGCGGCCTCTCCGCGGTCCCCGCACGCACCGACCCGATCCCCGCTCCCCGGCAGGGTCCGCGCGCGAGGCGGTCCGGGAGCTCGTCCAGCTGTTCCCCCGCGGGCTGTTCGAGGACGCGCTGCCGCCCATCGCGCTGAGGAGCCAGGTGTACAGTCTCCTGCCGGACCGCACGGTGGCCGACCTGCAGCTGGTGAGCAGCGCCCGCAGCCTCCAGGGCACTCGCCGAGTCCCCGTCACTGCCACCCACCCCTCGGCAGGCAGGCGAAGTTCGGCCACGGCGCAGAGCAGCTCCCGGGGCGGGAGGGGTGGAGCCTTGGCGGTGTGGACCCGCGGGCAGACGTCAGGTCCACAGATCTCTCTGTGCCGTCCCCATCTGACAGGGAAAGGTTAAAGAGCACAGGTGTGCTGGAGGCCGCTCCTGACCCAGATTGTCCCGGGGACCGACTAGTGACCGGCGGATCGAGTGGAGGAAGGAAGCACCGGGTGGTTGGCTGAGTTGGAGCTGATGGGTACATCCATGTACTAGACAGTTGGCCATGACGGCTGCAGGTCATTCTAGGCCCTTCCACACAAGTAAAAGTCATGAGGTGGAATGAGATCCTTAGGGAGAGAGCAGAGGAGCGCTGTAACCTTGTAACCAGGTTTAGAAGGTGATGAAAGCCGGGCTGTCTCTCTTCAGACAAGAACACACGGTGCGTTTAAACCCTGAAGGAGTGCTTCACAGGATCCTTGGAGACAAGGCTGAGGGATCACATTCACCTCCCAGTTAAATCCAGTGGGCAGATTTCAGTTTCTATTTTATTAGAACTCTTCACAAACCACTGCCTGAGTCAGGTTTTAAACACCACGAACGCCTCGCTGCTGCCCTCTTCCTCCCGATGCTCCCTTCTCAGCGGCCTTCTCAGGTTCCTCCTGCTTAGCTTTGCCCGAACATTGTTATGGGGTTTCTGACCCCTGGGAATAGACTGTAGACTCAAATCCAATTATATTTAAGATTTATCCATGAAGGCTAGCAGGACAACAATCTCTGAGCTAAACTTGGGATTGCCATTCCTTTGTTTTGTCTGTTTTGAGACAGGGTTTCTCTGTATTCACTCTGGCTGTCCTGGAACTCAGAGATCTGCCTGTCTCTGCCTCTTGATTTGCTGGCATTAAAGGCCTGAGCCACCACAGCTTGGAGATTGCCATTGGAAGGGGAAGAGAGGGAAGGGTTTTTAAAGGTGAACAACACAAGAAGAACTTGAGTATCTGCACAGCAAGCCAGGAGTTGTTCTGCTCTGCCCAGATCGCAGAGTCAGGGCTACCAATAGATAGTCCTTGACTGTCTGCCAAAGATCAGTCAGTCATAGCAAGTAGTCACGACATCCATTTCTGAATGAGGGGTGGGGTGGGGGTCACTGAGTCAGGGTTATTGGGAACTTTTCTTCCAGGAACGGGACACAGACAAATGGCTAGTGGGTACCAATATGGATGCCTAGCTTAAAATGGAGGAGTTTCTTTATCCATCACAACATCAATAAATATTTTGGGCCAGTGAGATGGCCCAGAGGGTAAAGGGTGCTCCTTGGCGGCCCACCTGAGTTCCATCTCTGGTACCCGTGTGGTGGAGGACTGCACCCCATGATTGCCCTCTGACCTCCTCATGTAGGCCATGGCACTTGCTCCTTCCAGAACATACATTTTTTTTTTTTTTTTGCAAAAATCTATAAGAATTGCATGAGAGAAATATAGACATGTTCACACAACTTAAAGTTTTGTTTTGTTTTAAAACATGGCTTTAATTTGTAGCCCAGACTGCCTTAAACCTGAGATCTCCTACTTCAGTCTCCCTAGTGCTGGGATTTCGGGAGCCCACCATGACATTTAACCGTTGGTTTTTGAGTTGTTTGGCGCAGGGTTTCATGTAGCTCAGGCTGGCCTGGAGCTCACTTGAGTAGTTGAAGTGATGACCTTGAACTCTGATCCTCTTGCCTCTACTTCCTAAGTGCTGGGGTTACTGGTGTGCACCACCATGTAGGGCTTGCACCTGCCTTTAAAACATTTACAAAGAAAATACTCATGTAGGCAAACTACAGACCATGATCAGCTCCCTCCATAAATCATCTGCTGGCAGTGACCACTACTTTGACTGCTGTAACTGTCCATTGTGTGTGTGTGTGTGTTGTGTGTGTGTTTGTTCTATGTATACTATATGTGTGCATATGTTCATCAAGAACAGCTTGGTTTCATGAATTTTTT